TCGTTTTTTTATTACTTACAGAAAAATTACCCGTATTTTTGAAAACCTGTGGTGACTCCTCCTGTTGACTATATCCTTTTCCTTTTGCCTGTCGTTGATTCGTTTGACATTGACCACGATGTCCGTTGTTACCGTTGTTCTGTTGAGCTTGATATGTACGCTTACCACCACGTACTTTTGAATGAACTGCATTTACTTCATTTTGTTTTTCACCATTCTCCTTCATTTGATTGAGTTCTTTTCGTTGAATTTCAGCAATACGAAGGGTTTCTATTGCAGCTTCAAGAGTAACATCAGCTTGCTTAATTAACTTGTCGCGAGTCTCGCTATCTCTCGTGTCAAGAACAATTTGTCACGTAAAATTTCTTCATGGGATTTAAATTCACAATCTTTTATCAAACCACGACACGCTGACAGAAACTCCTCAATAGACTCATTTTCTTTTTGAGACCGTTTATAAAATATATACCTGGAGTGTAGAATATTTTTTTTTTGGTTTGCAATAATTTTGAAACACGGTTAGCACTTGATCAATTTTCTTATTGTCTTCGACGTTTTTAAACTTGAGAGTGTTATACCTCTCTAGGCCCTCTTTACCAACAAGGTTAAGAAAAATGGCCACCTGACGTTTGTTAGACGCTGTCGTTAGACCAGCCGCCTCAATGTAAATCTCGAACGCTTCACGAAAAACGCGCCAATTTTCTGACAAATTACCCGTTAAAACCAACGCATCTGGTTTATTGTACTCCATGGTTCAACAACAATTCAAAATTCAAATATACAATATACAATTTTCAGATCCTTCTAGACTGCGCCATGTTGCATCGTGCGAGGAGTGTGTCAGGTCAAAATAAAGTGCTACGCATGAGTGCTAAAAGCTGACTGGTTTTATTTTATCATGAATATATAGCCGCTATTGTAGATAACAAATAATCAGTTATAGGCTATAGCTATATGTAACAATTAGTTTCAAGAAAATCATGAACATTAGATAATTATGATGAATTATTATTATTATTATAGTTTAATATCCTAATGTTCATAGTTAGTTTATATATCTATTAATCAATTATATCTGTGATTATTTAATTTATACTATATTAACGATAGTGCGTAAACCATGTGTTTAGTGTTCACATTTGCTCTCAGACCTTTCGTGTAATCGTGTCTCGTTTAAAATTAACCGATCGGTGAACAGAATTTTGACATTATTTTGATATTATTTTGTGTTTTGACTTATACTTATTATGAAAATAAATGTAAAAATATTATTAATGTTGGTATAGTTTTAAATAAAATCATGTTATATAAAAGTGCACATTACGGAAACTGGAAAAGTATGATAACAAGATCCTTCTAGAAGATATTTGCCCCCTTGACTCCAAATGTACAAAATAGTTATGGTTATATCACCTCCCAGAAAAAAAAAGAAACGCCACTGTCTGTAATATAGATGTAATGTATTGTCGCGTCCTGTGTAGTCACACAATAAAACAAAACACGGGGAGTGTCGCGTCCTGCGTATTCACACAATAAGACAATAACCGGGGATGAGATTATTGTACTCACGTAGTTATTACACTAGAGATTACAATAAGAAATTAGAATATCGAAACCACAAGCGTGGACAAGTGAAAGAGTTCACATAAACGGGCGGTACTCCTTTCGCCCAAAAATGACCTTCCTCTTTTTGCCACGTCCTCTTTTCGACCAAAAATGAAAAAACAGTTTCCTCTTTTCGCCTAAAAATAATTGTATTCTTTTCGCAAATGGTTTCACGTTTTACATATTGGAAACCACTGTCTCAAAATTAATAATTTTTAAAAAAATCATATAATAATCAAATAAAAAAATAGAAAAATATATAATTATTAATAATAATTTAATAAGTGTTAAAAATAAGTATTTAAAATAGTGTTATCGATGTAAAATAACTAATAAGTAATTTAATCAGGTTACTACTTAAATAAACAGTTTGTTTTGTTGTTGTAAAATAATACAAATATTCATATTGTTCGCTCCGCAAACAATTGAATTTTTGGATTTCCCGCCGGCGCGGTCCGGTAATTGTGTTCATTGTTTTTCGTGTATTTCTTGATAACGGTTGGTATAGTGCATTCGTTGCGGTGCCGTCGGCGATGGCATCAGCTGTTGCGTGTTGACGGCCCAACACATGTGCGTATCACCGTTATATAATGTTTTTCGTTATTTCGTATCGCGTGTGTGCGTGCGAAATAGTTTCGGTTATGTTTTCGTGAGTTGTCTCAAGTCATTGCGCTCAGTGTCACCGAAAGTTCATAATTTCGCGTGTTTTCATTTGTGTAGGTGGCACTGAGCTTTCGTTTCATACTTCATGTTAATGCTGAGTCCGGTTCGTTAAAACCATTGAACGGATCGGCTCAGCCCTCTCTCTCGTTGTGTTCGTGTTCGTGAGTGGAGCTACGTGTTTTCTTCGTCGCAGACTGCAGCCTTGTCCAAACCACGTTTTTTGTGAATTTGACTGTTTGGTAATATTGTTCTAGGCTATTGCCATTATTTCATGTTTTTTTTGTTCCCCAGTTCTAGGGTGGTCATTGTCATACCAGCAGTCAGTGTGAGTCATCGTGGTTTCGTGTTCGTGTTGTGAATAGCTGCAGTCATATTCGTATTTTCATGTTAATATTCGTCAGGTGCGGTTAGCGGTGTTATTGTGCGTGTGCGGGATCACACCTGTATTTTTATTGTATTAAGCTGATTATTATTACGGATCCCGGCACCACATAACATCATAACCGCACGTAAGGTAGGTGCTGCACCACAAAAATATTAGGCCGACGGGCCACATTCTTATTATTATTATTTTTTTTATTTATATATTATTGTAGATTGAGCCAAACAGGCCATATTATTATTTATTTCTTTATTTTATTATTCCTATTTTAATATATATATTGTTACCATTTTGTTATTTGTTGTGCCAACCAGGCAAATTTAATTATTTATTTCTTTATTTTATTATAATTGTATGTACCAAATTTTGTTTTGTTCTTTTTGATTATTATAGGTCGGTAGTGCTGCACGTTTGGTAGCCTACCGCCCATGTCGTGAAGGCACTCTTATTTATCTTTATTATTATATAAGCGCTGATCACGGCAACACATATTAATTATGACTTTTAAGTAATTATAACGTTTATTAAAGTGTTTTAAACTATATATTTCGATAGAAGAGTCGGCACCTTTATACACTTTTCTCGACTGACTATATTAATAACAATCAAAAACGTGATTTTATCGAATATCAAATATGATTTTTTAAAAATTATTAATTTTGAGAAAGTGGTTTCCAAAATGTAAAACGTGAAATCATGGGCGAAAAGAATACAATTATTTTTGGGCGAAAAGAGGAAACTGTTTTTTCATTTTTGGTCGAAAAGAGGACGTAGGCAAAAAGAGGAAGGTCATTTTTGGGTGAAAAGAGTTCCACCCACATAAACGTTCTTATGGGAAATTAAAATAAATAGTTAATCGAAATAATAACGACCACATCCTGGGCATTAACGTCAATAATTATGTCACGGTCCGGAGATAACACACACAGACTCATAATTAACAGGAAATTATTTTATTTTAATTATTTTACTATCAATTTTCATTTACACACACACACACACACTAGTGATTTACACACACACATACAGATATCACATGTAAAAGGGACCCGAAAACAAGGGAAAATCAGACGAGTTTTGGCTATGCTGCACTGAGCACCTTCACGTCAGTGTATGTTATGGTCCGGACTTGGAAATATTTCCAATTATTTTATAAGTTACAATTGTTAGGACTTAAATAATTTCTATCACTAGAATATTTACAAAATTGTAGTTAGGATAATTTTATGAGTTAAATAAATTTAATTATTTTAAAAAAGCCTTAATTATTCCTGACTACACTTCCAATCAAGCGTTGACTTAGACGTTGAACTGAATTAACGGATCAAACGGTTGGCACGTAACAGTATATTCGAATATTCGAATATCGGTATTCGATGCTACAATACCTATTAAGGTCTATTCACACTACAACGGAACGGAGACGGGACGAAACCCGTCCGGTCATGTAACAAATATTGTTTCTATGTTTTTTAAACGTAAGCATTCATATTTATCCGGAACGATAACGGAACGGTGCAACGGCCCGGGGACGGGCGATAAAAATATTCTTTGCGACTATTCTTGAACGGGTTTCCGTCCGGATTTCAGTAGTTTTTCAAAACTGTACATACTCATTCTAAAGTATTGATGAAATTTAGACTCGTCATCCACAAGCTCTTTGTACACCGTGATGAATTTGCCTTCAACAGAACGCTTCTGCCAAGCTGGATGTACCCACAGATTTCTTGTTTGCTTTTTTATTTTTTCGGATTCTTCTTCATCTAATATTAATGCAATCATCGCCAGCTCTTCATTAGAAAAAATTAGCCATTTTCGATGTTTAATAAACGAGAAATAAGGTGCTTACAACTGACACGTTAGGACACAAATGACTTACATTTTTGAAAATAAGTTCATTAAATATTTAATAATAACAGTTGCTATCTTTAGTCATATTGATTTTACGTTATCTATTTAATCTAGCCCTGTCCGTTCCGTTTAGTGTGAACGCAACAGAACGGGTGACCCGGACGGATAAAATTCCGGCACGGTTCCGTCCCGTCTCCGTTCCGTTGTAGTGTGAATAGACCTTTATTGTTAAATGTTTTGTGTTGCGTGAAAACATAATCGAATAATTTTCACGTATTGTATTTGAGCATCGAATACTGATATTTGAATGGTCGCCACGGACGCGTGGTTATCACATAGCAGTCCCCATCGCCTAGGCGTAGATTGGGGGGTGCTTGGGGGGCTTAGCCCCCCAAACAGATCGAAAGCCCCCCCAAATGTATAAACATTTTTCATAGTATAAATTACTATAAAATATTAAAATAGGTATTTATTTTACAACAATTGCCAAAATCTTGGAAATTCACAAAATATTTTTTTTCTTGAAATATTCAAAAGTTGGGTATTAAAAAAAAGTCAAATACAAGGTTAAGCAACACTAGGTGGAATTGTCGTTACAAAAATTGTGATGCTGTAATGTCCAGTTATAAAGCAATAGTAGATACATTATTAAATGAGATTGAAAATGAATCTGATAAAGATGTGAATGAAGCAATAGGTAAATATTTTGATTATTAAATTGCATTTAATGTTTTAATATATAGATTATAGAACATGAATACTTGTTGTTAATTTGAAGTTAATCTGTACCTCTTCATTATCATTTTTCAGGAATTTTAACCAACATGAGGAAAGGACAATTCATTGTGTATTTATTTCTTTTACATACATTTTTAACAATAATTAATATTTTAACATGCAAATTGCAAGAAAAATCGTCAACTCTAGGGAATTCAGCAGTTATTATTAAATCTATAATCAAATCCTTAGAAGATTATAAAACCATTGAATGTTTTGCTGAAATTTGGTTGGATATAAATACATTTGCAACAGTCAATAATATATCCATTGAAAATCCATTCCAAGGTATACCTAATTAACTGATTACTTAGCTATGTTAGTTTGGTATTATTCAAAATGTTCATTGTATTAATTATATTTTAATTTAAAATTTAGGAAATAAAAGAAACAGGAAAGAACCAAATGATCTTAAAAATTTCATTGTCACTGCTAGAACTAGTGCACAGTACACAGAATACTACTCAAAATAAGAATGCCGATTCCCCCTCCTCCAACAATCTAGAAAATGTCATCTCCAAATTCCTAGACGATTTCAAGTCTATGATTAATCCTCTACTTGCTCTTCTGACTACAGTAATTTCTAAACTTTCAATAATCAAAAATGATTAATAACTCATATACCTCCAACTCTCTACTCATCCTACTATGGAATGCCAATGGCCTCAAAAACCACAGTAATGAACTCCTCACCACCCTTCAAGAAAAAAGAATAGATATTGTACTAATATCTGAAACCCACTTTACTAACGTATCTTATATTAATTTTCACGGCTACTACGCTTATCGTGAAAATCACCCAGACAACACCGCGCACGCGGGTGCAGCTATATTCATAAGATCCTCGCTCACATTCACTCCACTTCCTAATTTTATTACAACACACATTCAATCATGCGCAATATCTTTAATTCTCAACCACATCCCTGTTACAATAGCGGCAAATTACTGTCCACCAAAACATAAAATCACTATCAATCAATTTAATGAATACCTGTCTACCCTAAATAACAATTTTATTATAGGCGGCGACCTAAACGCAAAACATATCCAATGGGGCTGCCGTGCTACAAACCCTAGAGGAAACACTCTCCTACAATCTATATCTCACTCTAACATATCTGTTCTGACGCCCCCTAATTATACATACTGGCCTACATCTCGCTACAAAAACCCCGATATATTGAATATATTTATCACCAAAATTCCTAATAACCTCCATACTCAAACCCTCAACCTTTTAGACCCATGCTCAGACCACTCTCCAGTCCTTCTCATCATAGATTGTCAACCTCCCGACAAATCTACCTCCACAGTCATATCCCAACATCAAACTGATTGGGAAAAATTTGCTACATCCTTATCGGGAAAAACCGACTTAAAAACTCGTTTAAAAACAATAAATGATATCGATGACTCTGTTAATCTGCTCACACATAACATACAATCATCGGTATGGGAATCACCCAAACTACTACCTTCTAAAAAGTCGCCTAACAATCTTCCTACTTATATAAGGACTTTAATCGCAGCAAAACGGCGTGCTCGTGCTGTTTGGCAAAACAGTAGATATCCATCAGATAAATGTAAATTGATCGCAAACATCAACTTTTGGACACAATCCTACTTCAAATAAATTTTTAAGGACGTCAATTATTAAATTTTTAGATTGATTTTGTCAACACCAGAATGAGAAAGAAAAAAGGCGACTGGAAATTTCCACGGTGAATAAATACCTCGAGCCATAAACACCAGAACACAGTTAGCACTTTTATTTGTCCTGCCATATTGACCTAAGTCTTCAAAACCTTCAATGAAATCAAATTCTTTGGAATATTCTATAAATTCTTTTATATACATCTCATCGAAACAAACAGTGCATACTTTTTTTTTATAATCAGTTGATTCAATTTTTTTTTAAGATGACTAAAAAATATTTGATTAAAACCTGGTACGAATTTTGATTGACCTATCCAATGACGAATTGTTGAAAGTCCTGGTAAATTTACTTTTTGGGAACGTAAAAATGTATATGCACTGGGTGATTTATAATATAAATTTAAAGCCAAATTTTTTTCATTTAATGTCCATGGACGTTGTCTATCTTTTAATTGCATAGTCACAATTGCTTTGGAGTTAATTGATGAAAATTTATGTAAATTTATTGAATTTTTTAAATTATTATAGCGATTAAAACATCTACCTTTTTTTTAATTTTGAAATATGTGTGAATTTATTATGAATAATTTTATTTTTTTGTTTTAATTTTTGTTTTAAAATTAATTTTCTAGGAGTATCTTTTTCTAACAAATCACATTTCCTTTTTAAATTTGAGTCTGGCATTTTTATTATATCTGTAATTTTAGTTTTATTAGGAGTAGATAACGATGAAGAGGGGCTAGAAAAAACTAACTCTACCATGTCTGATTTTGTGTGTGTATAAGTATTTACTGGAGTTGAAATTGCGTTGACTATTTATCTATTCTATAATCAATGGTATTATATTTGAACCTCCTGGCAGTTGGTTTAGCCCACACAGTGCCCCTGTTTTATTCTTATATTTTTGCATTTATCTTGTGTATAATTATTATCATTATTATTATTATTATTAATATTATTATTATAACCCTTGGGCGCCCGTTCTCCATATTTGTGTATTTAGAATAATTATTTCTTAATAGTAAGACGGTGCTATTCGGCCCGTCATATACAAAAAAAAAAAACCGTATTATTTTTTTATTATTTGTCACTACGCCAAAGTCATCCTTTCCCAACCCGACGCGAGTCGTTGCCGCCGACCGCAGACACGCAGGAGCGGCTTCGACGGAGAACATTTGGTAGCAGAGTGTGGTTTTCTTTAGTTTCTTTAGTTTTGTTCTTTTTTTATTGGGAAAGTTCGGTGATCGGTGTGACAGGAGACATCGGTTCATAATTATAAATGTATTTGTGTACCTAATCAGTAGTTGGTGCAACAACTTGGGAACATAATTTGGGAGTCCCAGCAGTTGGGATTACTTTATGTTATATTAAGTTATATTACCACTTGAACGTAGTTATCGCCGATATTGTTTGTGTGTTGTATCAACACGATATTGATTAATATTACTTTGTAGGGAATATTGTGTTACATACGGTTGTAATCATAATTTAATATGTCGGAGGATAAAGAAGGCGAGCGTTTAGGTCGACTAAAAGCACGCGCTATAATTAAACGGTCTTCCGTCATATCGATAATTCGCTCCATTAACTCTTTGGCAGCACGCACATCTACCGAGCCCGAGTTAATACCCGAGTTTATATCGGCCGTACTTGACTTGGATACGTTATGGGCACAATTTAAATCTGAAGACGAGTCAGTCTTAGATTATTTGATAGGTATGAATAAAAAGGACGACTATTCGTCGGGCCTCATTAGAATTAGAATTTATTCAATTTTATTGTATCATACTTATTGTACATACATTATATTAGTTATTAGTATAAAATTTTCTCGTTTGGAGTGCCCATAGTCAGTTCTGACACATAATCCAGATTAGAGATTTTTTTTGCCAGTCATGTTATCACATTTCGTCGTTTAACCAGTATTATCTTAAACATTGATTTTATAATATACAGATAAACCATTCTATTGTTAATAGTGGCAGTGGCTAATTGCATTCAGCCGTTAGACGTCGATGTGTTCAATTGCATTCAAGAGGGGTAAATATAGGATGGGTGCTGTTTTGCTATACGCGCTACGATAGCCGATTATATTCTATTTTTAGGATTTGTTTTAATTGTTGATATATTTTACTCTGTCGACAAAAATAACGGTGTTTCGGATAATTGAGTGGCTACTCACGTTGAGTGACAATGTAACCAATTTGGAAATATCATTGATTTTATATAATATAAAATATTCATTTTATTGTACTTATTCGTATTAAGCTGTTTCCACATCCACATTTACAGACACATTTTCAGTATATTTATCTTAATTAATCTTAAAATATTTAATCAATTTTAAAATTTCAAACTTATGATGTCTGGTAATATCTGTCAATATGTGAATTGCAACAAATCAAAAAAAAATTTTCCAACATTGAAAATGTTTCGATTTCCGAGAGATGAAACTAGATTAGACACATGGACCATCAATGCAGGTTAGAATATTTTTAATTTATTAATATTAGGTATAGTCGTATAGATGATTAAGTACCTAATTTAGTTTAATTTTATGTCGACATTTATGATAATTATAGCATTAGGACACGGATTTTTATGAATTTTCATATATAATTATATAAGACTTAGTAATAATAATCGACGTAATAGACAGATTAATTTATTGTTTTAGGAAATTGAAAATTATTGTCTCTTGATAAATCAAAACTGTACACTAAATATTTATGCCAAGAACATTTTTCATCTGACTGTTTTATGACTAAAGAAATGACGAAGTTAAAGCCAACTGCTATTCCTTATAAATTTAGCGATAAAGATCAACCATCAGCATCCAGTGGTAATGTTACTTTAAATTTATCATAATTGCTTATAAACAGGGCTTGGAAGTTATTAAATTCGCATGGTTTTTTTTTTTTGGGCTAGACTTATTGGGATTTTTCTCTTGTGATGTATTTTTCAAATCCTTTTTAGTTGACACACATTGTTCCGTTTTTATTCATAAATATTTAGTAACAATTATGAAATATTAAAATATTTTTTAATAAAACATGTATATATTTTATTGCTTTTTAAGTACATCGAGTTAGCACCATGTTTCCAGCCCTGTTTGTATATCTCGTTATGAATTTACGGTTCTGAGCAAAAACGGTCTGTCAGACTAGGTAAATATTATGATATTGCTATTTAAATTAATTACTCAAATTAATAATAAAGTAGGTTGAATTAATTGTTGGCAAAAAAATTGCATTGAAACATTTACCAAATTAACAGATTTACAGATTTTTCAATTGACTTACACTCAAATTTATTTATAATTGTTGTAAGCAAAATTTATGGACAATCTTCTATTAAATTTTCAATTCTTAGCTATGAATACAATAAAATGTATACACTTTGAATTATAAAATAATTTGTAAATTTTCGTGATTTTGATGAATTCGTCAATATTTGAACTTCAAACGTTTATAAAAAAAATTTGCCAATGTATTTTGATGATTTTTGAATCACTCATAGATTAACTTATGTAAAATCTTATATTAATTTTTCAAACATTTACTCAGTCAAAATTTTTTTGTCGAAATTTATAAAAAAAAAAATCGAAAATTTAACTGTCCATAAATAGCTCAAAAATCTTCAAAATCTTTCAAAAGTTACACCATGTAAAGGCGATGCCAATATAAATATTTAGTATTTAGTATTTAGTATTTAGCATTTAGTATTTAACATTTGTATATTACACTTATATACTTATATCACTTTGCTACCCGAAACCACCTTTGAATTTTAAGATTGCAGCACTATTAAGTACTCCTCCAAATTTTATCTTCAGACACAAATATAAAAAATAAAACACATCATTGTAAAATCAATACATTCACCACTCCACTCAGAATCATAAATTTATCAACTAAATTTATGAAATTTGAAATTTACTTACAAAACATGTTACAAAACCCTTGAACTTTATTACATTTATTACAATTATTTATTTTAAATTTTATTAATTTTAGGAATTTTTGAAAATGAAAAATTGTTACCACTAAGTCTTAATTCTAATGTATTAACTCCTACAAAATGTTATGAGCACCATGCGACGTCTGATGTAAAAGAATTAATATTTTCAAGTCCTATTATGACCACACCCGAAAAACGAATACAAGATATAATAGATATGCCCTGTCCTAATTTAAAAATAAATTGTTTTGATGACGATACACCTAGGAAAAAAAATTAAAAGCACAGTTGCAAAATCAATCTACCAAATTGAAAAATAAAAGATCTCGTATAAGTAAATTAAAAAGAAATTTACAAATTTTTAAAATTTGTAATGACGTTAATAAAGTTATTAATACGTTTTCTTTTCCTTCGGTTAACTCAAAAGCACTGGTAACAATGTAAATAAGGAAAAACCACCGACCATGGTCACAAGAGGAAAAACAGTTATCTTTATCTTTATATTACAAATCTCCAGCTGCATATAATTTTTTAAAATTGCAAAACATCAACTTACCAGGAACGTCAACCATTCGCAGATGGATTGGTGAATCTAAATTTTTACCTGGATTCAGTAAAGTATTCTTAAATCATCTAAAAAAAAAATTCGAGTACATTATTTTTTCGATTATAAATAACGCTATGCAATCTATCGGATTTTTGCTTTACTATTATTCGTGTTTCTAAATAAACGGCCGTATGGCTTATCTGTATATTATTAAAACAATGTCTTAAATCATGCTCTAGACCATAGAATAATATAGAGAGGGCCTTACGAACACGATTTGAAGCGAACAAGGTGTACTTGCAGTGTTACCACAACATACAATAAGTATTATTGTACTGTCTTATTTATTGATAAATTTAATGAATTTTGAAACATTATTGTACAATGGGAATATTGTACCAAAATATTATATAATCATAAGAATACTTTGATCATTGATAAAAGATATTTTAATTATAAATTTATTAAGATTCAAAATGCATAATACATATAATCAGTGGTTGAATTGGGGGGGACGCAGAGGGTCTGAGCTACTCTTCATTTTTCTTCATATTATAGCATACCCCTTAATTTAATTCATCAAGGAACGCAGGGGACCCAGCGTCCTTCAACAATTATATGAATATGAATTTGTTTCTTAGAAAAATTAAATAAATATGAAAAAAAATTGGAAACGATTAATATTTTATTTAATTTTTGGTATTAGTTCGTAATCTGTTCATTATTATTAGCACATATGTATATTAGGAACGCAATAATAAAATATATAATAATGTTATATAATTTATGTAACACGTTTCAAGTGTTTCCACTGCGTATTAATTCGTGGTATAAACTGCTAAATTGCTAAAAATATAATTATTACGAAAACTTCCCTGGGTGTACTGACGATAACGATCTATAGTAAACCATTGACAATAATAATATATTGACTCCGTATTTTGAGAATCCGTCCGTTGTTTTAGTTATCGACGATTAACAAATAGTGATCGTTTTCAAGGAAAATTAAATATTATTTATATTTTATTTGGAAACGAGGTGCGCCACGAATGAGTAATCAGTATTATGTTAGCTTGTCGCGTACTCGCGTATGTAATTTATAAATTGTAATTTTGTTGAAAATAGTAAACACCTCAACCGCACTCCTACAGTCCTACACGTCACGTCAGCAATAAACAAATAAACATGAATAAACGTCAAAAATTGTCCATATCGGACTTTTTCAATAAAAAGAAAAACAATGACCAAGGTAATTAAAACACTTTAATTTAATAATAAATCATAGGCGTGCGCAGATTTCTGTTACCGGCATTGCAATTCAAATGAAAACTATTTTTCAAATGTATAGAAACAGTTAATACAAAAAAAGACACACAACAAAGTCGACAAAGTAAACAACAAGTAAAGGAAAGTCTACGAACGAGGAATGAGAATGCTCAATCATAAAACCGTTGTTGATAATAAAATGTTTAAAATAAAAAATGTACAAAATATAAATCTGGGGTTAGAACATGCACGCTACCTTGCGGCCAATAGTTTCGGTAAGTGAGTACTATTATTACTGCCCGGCTTCACTTTCTTAATACGTACAGTATAGACTATGCCCTCTCTATATTACTCTATGCTCTAGACGCTCGTCAACCAAAAACGTTATGATATCAGATAAATAAAAATTGATAACGAATGGATCTTCGCAGAAAAAACTCCAAAAGAATCCAACATGGTGTCGTTACTCTAATCATTATGGTTAATAGATAATTTATTGGTTATCATATTAGTGTATGAAGTTAAATTATTAATAAATAGTAAAATACAAAACAAATATTCATGGTTAAAAGTTACACAATAATTCAATAATAATTAATAAAACAAAATACACGGTTTTCAGATTCTTTGTCCATGTCAAAAAATTCATATTAAAAATACGAATGATCATTAAATGAACGAACATTTAAAACTTCACAACTTGAATTATTCAATGAATTCCTAATTAAATTGCCTTCAAGTGAAGAAAGAGGTATATTAATGTTTGGTTTTTTTCTATTATTTGAATTAAGTCTGGTTTGCTTTTATTTGTATTTTACATTGGTAGTTTTAATAGGTAGGTACATTATCAGTTGATTTGTTTGTTTCTTTTGAAATTATTGTAATTATTTTATCACAATGCTTTAAAATGTTATGTTGGTATTCTATACTTAATATTGCTTGGCTATACGTGTCGAACGTTGCTTCCATTTTATTATTTATTTCCTTGTATAATTCTGTATTATTTAAAATTTATCTTTTCAGTTTATCATTTTAATTTGTATTAAATGTATTTATATTAGATGATGGTTGAAATTTTAAAACATCTACTTTGGCAATTGCATGGATATGCTTACAAATATTTAAGTAGGTATATAATATTGTCCATAAACGAACATTTAAATATGTAAACGCAATGTATTAACGTGACCGAGAGCGGTACTTAGTCTAATGACTTAATATGTAATTTAATAAACAAAGATTTGAGAGTAATAAGTATATTATTTATTAAGCTTTAACATATATTTAACTAAGACTAAACAGTATAACATACGTGCAGAAGTCCAGTATCTGGTAGTCCTGCATTCGTATGCATCTGTTTTGTACTATTGACCTTTCTTAATGGGATCAATCTATGTTCATAATAGTTTGATCTTTAACACCTTAATGTCTTACGTGTTATACAAAATGATAACTACACTATTCTAATTTTATATAATAAAAAAATAACTAATGAGATGAGGCTCATAACAACAAATTTTACAATATTCACAACGTAAAACATAGTCACTGCAAGGTAAATTAATTTTTTCAATAATATATTTTATTTAAGGATCAGTTAGTGAATCAGAGGCGGACTGGCCACGGGAGTTAGGGAAATTTATCTCCCTGGACCCCTCATAGATACTAATACTAAAAAAAAAAGCCAATACAATCCAAATAATATTATAATATTAGGAAAATTACATTAACATAAATAATATGAAAATACATAATTAATTCACTTCCAACTTATTATTGTTCGGAAATATAAAAATAAATAAGAAATTGTGGTTTGTGTAGCTATTTTGGTCATCATTATAGAATATGATAGTTTTATTATTATTCGAAATCTTAAATCGACATGTTTCATAGTTTCATTGTTATCGTTATCGCCCTTTGAACGATGTATTGGAAATTTGGAAATCAGTTTATCTAAATACAGTATAATTATTAGGGATGGGAATTCCAATTCATTCTGCCAAACTGAGTCTTTCAACTCAGTTCGGTGTAATGAGTTGAATCAAAGAATTGACTCCCAACTCTTTGTTTGAATCAGATTACCACTACTCTAATCAAAACTTCAAGTCTCGACTTTTGATTCGACTCACAAGTTCACAGTCCATATTCATGAATAGCTTATCCAGGGACGGATCTAGGAGGAGGCCTAGGTGCCAGGCCCCCTCCCCCAGACATATTATTTCTCAAATTTTTTTTATAATTCTACACATCGTGATATTAATATTGAAGATCAATTTCCATCAACAGCAATAGACGCCTTAAATAAATGCGATTCAAATATATTTCCTCCAGTATACCAGCTTCTAAGTATAGTTTGTACGTTACCAATGAGTGTAGCTACTGCAGAACGAAATTTCTCTACTCTAAGACAGGTAGAAACCTGGCTACGCTCTAGAATACAGGAGGATCGCCTTACTTCTTTGTGTTTACTATGTGTTCATAGGGAAGTTAAAATAAACATTGACCAAATAATTGATAGATTTGGAAAAAGCGACAATGTAAAAAGACGTTTAGATTTTATAATTTAATATATAACATTTATAAATTAAATAATCATTCATTTATTTATTACATTGATTACCTATGTCCTATACCTACCTACTATTATGACAGAATTTTAAAATTATGAATAAAATACCTATAAAAAAAATTGTAGAGGCCCCCCCCCCAGATCTTTACTCTAGATCCGTGCCTGAGATTATCGCAAATGAAACTTATTATGACTATAAGCGTACAATGTTAAGAATTTTTCTCAAAAAGTCAGAAATCTTGTTTTAAGAAACAATGAAAATATTAATAACCAGGGTTCGGAAGTTGTAGCACTAAAAATTTTATTTTTAAACTTTTATATATACACTTAAAAACTCTAAAATATGCGCTATAAATAACAAGAAAAATCAAAAAATATGCATTTATGTTGAAAAAATTATAAATTTATTATAAAAAAAAATGAAATGTAATTCTACAGATATTTGGGCATGTAGACGTTTGGACTGATTGATTTATAAACTTAACAAAAATGTTAAATTAATTAAATATATTTGTAAAAGTTTACTTAAAATCAAATGATTGTATTTAGTTACTAACTATTAGTACATCAAATTGTCGATGAAAAAATAAAATAATAATTGATGATGTCTATTTATTTCCAATAATTCAAATATTTTTTATAACTATAACTAATTAAATCATTATTATTAGCAAAATGTGATTATTTCCTGTATTATGTGAAAATATACCCAGAAATAGCACTATAAACCCTAAATTAGCAAAATAGCAATAAAACCCGTAAATATGCAAAAAATAGCAAAATTAAATTTTGTGTATGATATCTAAATAGTTTGAAACATATTTGTATCTTGCTTTGGACGTTTTAGGATGAACCAAGAAAAATATGCATTTATAGAACTTCCGAGACCTGTTAATAACCAAATCCGAGGGGAACTATTGTTTAAGTTGGTATTACATTTTGCGTTTAGATTCGGAAACCGTTATCAAGGGAGTCGAGAATTGAGAGTCGAGAGTCTTGTATCTACAGTAGTACAGTTGTGAGTTGTAAGTTTAACTTAGTCGCCAACCAGTGGCGTAGCTATCATAGGGCAAAGCGGGGCAGTGCCCCGGGACGCCTTAGACATTTCTGAAACTATACTTCCCTAAAATAATTGACAATGTGTAATGTTATTTAATAATAACTTTTCAAATCATACGTATTGAAGTAGAATAATAATTCACAC